TTTAACCTTATAGTTTTGGATCTTATGTTTAAATTTTTAATCCATTTTGAGTTGATTTTTTAATATATGGTAAGACATAGGGGTCTAATTTGATTTTTCTACACAAAGATATCCAGTTTTAAAGAAGGTTTCCTTTCCCAAGTAGATACTCTTGGCACGTTGGTAAAAAATCGTTTGGCTATAAATGTGTGTATTTATTTTTGTGATCTTTATTCTGTTTCATTGGTCTGTGTGTCTGTTTCTTTTCTTTTTTTGAGACAGAGCGTCAAGCTGTCCCCCTGGGTAGAGTGCCGTGGCATTACAGCTCACAGCAACCTCCAACTCCTGGGCTCAAGCGAGTCTCTTGCCTCCACCTCCCAAGTAGCTGGGACCTCAGGTGCCCGCCACAACGTCTGGCTATTTTTTGGTTGCAGCCGTCATTGTTGTTTGGTGGGTCCGGGCTGGGGATTCGAACCCGCCACCTTAGGTGTACGTGGCTGGCGCCTTAGCTGGTTGAGCTATAGGCGCCGAGCCTGTGTGTCTGTTTCTATGCCACTGCCATGCTGATTTGGTTACTATAGCTTTGTAGTATATTTTGAAGTTAAGTAGTATGATTCCTCTAGCTTTGTTCTTTGCTCAGGATTGCTTTGGCTATTTGGGGTCTTTTGTTTTCCCATATGGATATTAGAGTTTTTTTCTGTATCTGTGAAGAGTTTCATTGGTATTTGATAGGGGTTGTATTGAAATTGTAGGTTTCTTTAGGTAGTATGGTCATTTTAACAATGTTAATTCTTCAGTCTCTGACCATGAGATGTCTTGCCATTTGTTTGTGTTCTTCTCTCATCAGATGTTTTCCTGTTTTTACTGTAGGGGTCTTTCACCTCCTTGGTTAAATTTATTCGTTAGGCATTTTATGTTTTGTAGCTATTGTAAATGGGATTGCTCTCCTGATTTCTTTTTCAGCAAGTTTGTTCTTGGTGAATAGAAATGCTATGGATTTTCATAAGTTAATTTTGTATTCTGCAACTTATTGAATGCATTTCTCAATTCTAAGTGTTTTTTGGTGGAATCTTTAGGTTTTTTAAACATATAGGATCATGTCATCTGCAAAAAGGAAACTTCCTGTTTTCTAACCTGGATGCATTTTATGTCCTTCTTTTTCCCAATTGTTCTGGCCAGTTCGTTGAGGGACATCTTTAGGTTATAGTAGGGTAGCCTCTCCTCAGGTGTGTGCATTGGTGCAAGCTGTGGTGGGTGGGATGGATTGATCTCCAGGCCCCCAGATAGTGCACTTGGGTGGTGGTGGAGGTAGCAGTAGGAGTGGGATTATCCTCATCTGGGAATACGGCCTGGTTAGACTGGCCTCCAGGCTTTCTGAAGGTGTGTGCAGGTACATGATGGCCATTCTGATGGGCAGTGGGGCTATTGTCAGGTGTAGTGGTTCAAGGCAGATGGCTCTCAGGCTCTAGGGAATGTGTGCTTCAGCTCCTTTTGTCCAAGGTGCAATCTCCCTGGTGTACTATACCTCCTATTCTCCAGCATTAGGGTACTGTGTGGGCCAGAGTGCTAGGGACCCAGCTGTACAGGCTGGGTCCAACTGCAGGCCTCAGGGTGGACATGGAGGAGGATGTCAGTGGGGCTCAAGGGATGGGGAAATGCAGTGGTTGTTGGGACCCAGGGCAGGTGTTGGAGGCTGGGCTTTCAAAATGGTGCTGTGGAGGCTGGGCGCAGTGGTTCATGTTCATGCTTGTAATCCTAGCACTTTGGGAGGCCAAGGCAGATGGATCACCTCAGCTCATGAGTTCAAGATCAGCCTGAACAAGAGTGAGGTTATTTTAATAATTGTAAAATTTAAAATATTGAATAAATTAAAAAATAGAAAGAAGAAATATGTCAGCATTAATCTCACCATCCAACTGATCATTGTTAACAAAGTTGTATTTTCCTCTAGATTTTTTCCTTGTATATTTTTAATAGGTGTGATCACAATATATTTAATTTTGAATTCTATATTTTAAATTATTTAATATAAACATTTCCCTAATTTTGTTAAAAATCTATTAGTGGATATCATTTTAGAATAGCATTCATACTTAAAAAACAGACTTTTAATTTATTAAATAATATATAAAAGTCATAAAAAATTTGAAAAGTACATATTAGGAAGAATAAAACATTTCTCCCAAAAAAGCCTAGAGGAAAAATATGTATATAGGCACAAATCTAATTATAGACATGCTGATCTATAACCTACTTTTAACTTAACCTGGTGAATATTCTTTCATGTGATGAGGTGTAGTTATATATCATAACTTTAAAGATTCTATAATTTTCAGTAATATGCTATTTGTATTAGTGTTGGACATTGGCATTATTTTGAAGATTTTATTGTGTAATAGGGTGTTTAATAAGGAATAACCTTGTTCAGTTTTCTTGGTGTGATTGATGTCTAGGTCAAAGACTTTTTAAAAAAGGATTTTGTATATAAGTCAAGAAAAATGCCATTTTTCATCATCTATACTGAGTTCGAATGTTATTTTTTGTGAATATTTCATAATCAGATAAGCAAAAAATTATTAGCATTTTAACTATTAGTTGGTGAGCTTTCAGTTTTTCCCGCATGCTTAATTGCATTTTTAATAACTTGCCTGTTAATGTTCTTAGCCTAGTTTTGTACAGTTATTGGTAACGTAGATGCTAATGACTGCAGAGTGCACAGGTGACTGTGCGGTACTTTATCATTTCCCCATTTTGGATGTTAATACTGTTTCAAATTTAGGGTCTATTATTAAATAAAGCTGTGATGAACATTTTTGTGACTAACCCTCCTACACACACACACACACACACACACACATACACACTCATACACTTAAAGCTTACATAGGATAAAGTCCTAGAAATAAAAATCACTAGACAAAAATAAATATAAACTTACGTGAAGATCATTTAAAAAAATATCAAGAGCAGCCCAATCTTCATGAGTTACAGTCATTGTCAGGTAATGCTTTTTCTTCCTAATGCATCTTATACTCAGGGTCAAGTATTTTTTCTCAGATGCTAAGAGGCAAGACTGACCCAGCAGACAGGGTCCTGTAAGGACACACCCGCTGGCCCCCGGTGGTGGACAACTTTGGTTGTTCCATTGCTGTCTCTGGTTTACACCCTGGGACTGTGTGGAGCTCTTTGTGAGTGGCTTTCTGGGGTCTCTACATTTCTTCTGTGTGATGGCCCCCAGCTCCTTCACCCTCCACTGTTCACCTCTCACCTCTCCATGCAGTTAACTCCTCTCTCCTCTATACTACTGTCATCGTTGCAATAGAACAGCCTATGTTCTGTGTCCATGTGATTTGTTAACCTTTGGGGAGAAGTTACTCCTTTGTCCAGTGTTGGTCCCACTTGATGTGTTTTTGTCCAGCTGTTATAAAGTTCCTGTGTTCTGTCACATCTCTAATCCACTATTTGTACTGTTTGGAGAATAAGGGTCGTAAATAAGTTCATCTGGGTCACAATTAACTGTCTTGTACTTCAACTGTATTATTTCTTATGTTTGTGGACTGAGGTTCATATCTTCCATGTACCAAATAAACGAGGCTGTTGGGTAAATTCCCACCCACCAGGTACATTGCATGGATATATGGCATACTTCCTGGGAGTGGGACACAAGTACAATGTAGATTTTAACCTTACACAAGCAACTTATGTAACCTAATAGTATGTACCCTCATACTAATCTGAAATTAAAAAAAATATATAAACAAAGCTAAGGCTGCTCTAGTCTCTTCCTTCCTCCCTTCTTACCTCTGGCTACAGACTCCACTGAGCATAGATTAGAAACCTCAGGACCTGAGTGTCTCTAAGTCTCTTCCACTTTCACCCACTGCCCTTCTGGAATCAAACGAAATCATGTATGTGACACTGCAATGCACAAGGCAGACAGAATACAGAGAATTTTAATTATTTTCAAAGCAGAATTTCTTGTGGATTCCAAATAGAGACACATTTGTGCCAACTTTCCTGCCTAAAGGAAAGTAGAGTTTCTATCCTGTAGAAACTAGAAGAATTTAGAGAAAATTTCTCAAGACTGTGTGTTTTCTAAAAGCAGGGACACAGCCTATTATGTGCCTTGCATAGAGAGAGATCCTAGTATTTGTTGCCGAATGGGTAAGTGGTTTTCAGCCCAGCAGCCCCAGACCCCTCTGATGCAAGGCTGCCATAACCCCAGGTAGCCAGCAGGGGGAGCCTGGGTCCTTAGGCCAGGCCAGGCTACTGAGTATCCCACCTCAGGTGATGCCAGAGCTCCTGGAAGATGCTGGGATGAACTCCCAGGTGAGAGGTGGAGGTTGGCTCCTCTTATTAGCATCAGGTGGTCTGGCACAAACAGTAGAGGAGAATCCACACAGAGCCGAGAACTCTCTTGGGGAGGAGAGAGAGAGACACACACACAGAGGCTCAAAAAGGGGGTCTGGAAGGGAGGCGCTAGTGGCTAGGGACACGGGTGATAAACAGGGCCTGGTGTAGGAAGGCCAGCCAGGGAGAAAGGAGGCTGACTGAACTCAGTGCAGCTCAGGGAAGGGCAGGAAAACAGGACCTGGGTGAGGGGCATCAGAGTAGCATCTCAGCCTCCCGAGCTGCAGACAGGCCCCCTGTGCTCATGGCATGGTCCCGGACTTCTGAGTCCCTGGAGTCACCCCTTTTGACCTCTCTGCTCCACTCGCTGCCAAACTGTTGGGGAGAGGCGTGGATGAAAGTGGTTGGCTTAGGGATGGTAAGAAATTCCTAAGCCCCAGAGAGGTTCCTTTTTTGGGGGGTGTGAGAAGATTGTCTGTGGCAGAAGGTTAGGAATCAAAGACACATGACTGAGAAATTCATAAGAAATTGTACAGCATGGGGTTCAGGGACCAGGGAAGGCTGTGGGAGAAAGGAAGAAGCAGAACCGGAATTGCCAGCAGAGGGCTCCCTGGAGCAGCGTTGCTGCACAGTGAGAGCAGGTGGATGAATAGGTAAGTCAGTTCACGGGGTCTAGACTTATCTATTTTATTGTAATCCTGCAACCCCCACTGCCTGCCTCTGCTCCTGAAAAGACGTTCAGCCTCAGAGGAAGGGCAGTCTTAGTCTTGCTGTTGGAGGCGCTTCATTGTTTTCTTTATCCAGGGCAGGAAGTGTGAGACCTTGATGAAGACTCCTGGGGGTGTCCCATTAGCTGGACCACAGGAGAAAATGCCCTGAACCCTGTCCTTACACACGAGGGGGCCGCCGGAATCCCCCTGTGGGCAGAGAGAAAAAAGACTGAACTGGCCTCCCCAGGTGTGGGTAATCTCTGTGAGGGGTTGTGTATGAGACAGCAGGGCCAGGGCAGCCTTGTCACCTCCCTCAGTCCTGGAGCTCCCTTATGGCCCTGAATGTTATTCCCAGCTCAACCCAGGCCAGGTCTTTCTCTGCAACCCTCAGGGATACTACGCTGGTAACACTGCCTTTCCCATTCCCCCTCCCGTGCACCCAGGGAGTGGATTAAAGACCAAATTCCTGGGGCACCTGGGTTGCCCAAGTTCATGGAACAGACAACTCCCATATCAATCTCCCTCAAGTTCCTTTCTCCCAGGGGCCTGTCTGTAGATGCTGGAAACCTGACCTTGAATGCGGCCTTCTTCTTCTTTGGGTCCCCCACACAAATCTGGGTGATCCTGTTGTAGTTGTTGGGGAAGCGGGATTTACATTCCTGGTCCTTTTGCACTGTCAGCATCACCTCCTGCAGGGTGTCTGAGAGTTTGCCCCCTGGAGCAGTCCGGCCCCAGCCAGCCATGCTGCACACCATCTCTGGCATTGCCCCACCTGTGCTGCTGGGCAGCTTGAGGGGCTGCACAGCTGTAGTCCGCCTGGCCTTTCTCTCCAGCTGGTGGGGAAGAGGCAAGAAAGTCCAGGTCAGACAGTGGCGTCCTTGGCCTGGGCACTGCTGGGGCTGAGCCTTTATCCTTCCCCTTTGAGGCACAGAAACTGGTCAAGTGGCCAGAATGGACAGGAGGGAAGAAGGGACAGTGTAATAGTGGGAGGGACAACAGAGCGAGGGCCAAGTAGAGCGAGAGCAGCAGAAGTTTGCCTCACCTGCAGCAGCATGATGTCATTGGCAAAGGTGTTAGGATTATAGGCTTCGTGGGGAATGGATCTTCTCACATGGATGACCTGCTGGGTCTTCTCCTGCTCCTTGATGTTGTGGGCTCCCAGGGTGACATTCATGGAGCTGCACAGAGAGCACAGAGGGGCTGTGGGCATGTGGAGTCACAGGGTACAGCCCAAGAGTCATGAGGAGAAGGTGACAGCCAGGGCAGGGCAGGGCTGCAGCTGAAGGGGAAATTGAGGGGATGGGAGGGCACCAGGGTTGAGTGACTATGTCCTCTGCTTCTCAAGGACACTAAGAGCAGGGCTTCTGGCAGTTCTCTCTTGCCTTAGGCAACACTGTGAAACTGCTCCATCTGTGTGGTGACCCTTGATGCATGCTTTCAAACTCTGCCACTGCTTTATTGGCCAGTATTGTCCCTCATCTCACCTGTGCCACTTGCTCGGACTTCTCATCCTCTGACTCCAAAGCTCACCTGTTCTGTTTCTCAGCCTTTCATCATCCTAGTCCTGCTCCTAGGTGGCTCCTCTGATGAGCTCTCAGGGGCTCTCAGGGTACCAGGAGCCTGGGAAGCTCCTCTGAGCTGCAGCCCCTAGGAGAGGACAGGGTGTCCCTGGTGGGTCTCAGGAGGTGTGAGCTGAGGCTGCTCCTCACCTTCCCCAGCAGTGCGCAGCTGTCAGCACAAAGTCGTTCCGCACGAGGACGCCGCCACACCTCTTCCTATTCTCCTTAGCCAGAAACTGAAGAAATGCCATGTAGGGGCGGGAGTGGGGCTTGGCCTTGTTGCCCCCGATGATCTCCTCTGAAAGAAAAGGCTGGAAGTTGAGGCAACCGGGGCAGATGTGGTCAGGAGAGGAGGCTCAGCAAGATGGTCATTGAGGGCGTGCTGCTCAGTGAGGGTGCATCGTCCTGGGCCCTGCAGACAGCTGTTCTTGCAGGTGGAATTGCCTCTTCTGAGCCTCAAACCTCAGACCCCCCTCTGAGAAAGGAGGGGCAGTGGGTGTTGTCCACATCCTGTTGCAGACACACAGGGAGGAGGTAAAGTCTATCTCCAGGATGGCAGAGCCCCAGAGGACCTGGATGGGACTGCCTTGCGCTCTCCTTTCTTAGTGAGTCCCCGTGGATCCCTCTGAGCCATTGGCGTCATCTCTATCTGTGCCGTTTTCTAATGAGCTACCCCTGAGCTTATGGAGTTGGATTTTCTAAAACCCTCACATTCTAGGGCTTAATATATCCTAGGTTTTTGGATATATTAATATATCCTAGGTGTTTTTTAGATATATCCTAGGTGTTTTTTGGCTGCAAAAATGAATGGCCACCAGTTAGCCTTTGGCTGGGGTGTGGAGGGGTTCGTGCTGGTGGATTTAGGGCGTCCAGGATTGTGGAGGAAGCACTGCCAAAGATGGTGGAGTAGCCAAGGGCCTAGGAAGGCAGGGGAAGTAGAGAAGTTAGCTAAAAATGGACCCCACAGGCTGGGGGTGGAGAGTTGTGGTTGCAGCTATCTGCCACCTCTGAGATCTGCCGTGCCCTGGGTTTCTCTCTTGGACAGCAGTCAGAAGGTTGGGGTACGTAATAATCTAACTGGTTCCTAAGCTGCTCCAGTGACAACCTCCACTGCTCATCAGAGCAGCCACCTGGAGCAGGACTGGATGATAATGGGCTGAGAAACAGGACAGGTAAGCTTTGGGGTCGGAAGGTCAGAGGTCAGAGCAGGTGGCACAGTTAAGAAAAGAGGGGCACTGCTGGCCAAATAAAGCTCAAAGGGATCGGGAATATCCTTTCCTGGACTGGAGTGAGGGATTATAAATACTCATCTTTTGGAGCTTCACATGTTCCACCAAATGCCTTTCTAAGAACAACCCACCTTCTAGGTCCTAACGAAGAGGTCTGGAGAGAGGCTGGTGTCTACCAAACCTTTCTGGGAACACCCTTCCTTCTGCCATCCTTGCTGAGGGTCTATCTATCAGCAGACTTAGAAGTCTGGGTGGTGGATGGCAGCTGGGCTCAGACAGAGGAAAATTCTTGACCAGTGCTGGGGGATTTTGTCAGATGGACACAGGCCCCTGGAATAGGGATGGTCACTTACCCGTCCCAGCCCTAGAAGGCATAAGAAAGGCCAGCAGGAGCAGGAATGGCTGCATCTCCTCAGGTAGACTGCCCGGGTCAGCGCTGCTGGTGTTTTCTCTGTCCGGATAAAAAGCCACGGAAGGGAGGATGCAGGAGAGGTGGGCTCAGTGATCTCACAGACCTCCCCGACCCATGTGTGCTCTTCTGGTTTTGATGGGCGTCATCACACAAGTTGGCTTCCAACGTTCTCTGGTTTGGGTGAGGTGAAAATGGCACCATTACCACACTTGCAACTCTGCTACTGAGTTACAAGGCAAAAGCAAGAATAAGCAGTAAGAAGGTGAAGGTTGTTAAGACTGTGGCTGCAGGGTGAGAACCCCAGAAGCTCCTAAGTGACTGAGCTGCACCAAGAGTGCTTTCTTTTCTCAGTTCTTGGTTTTTTTTAGCAAGTCAGATCCAGGGATGTGAGAGACATGTTTCCTACCCTTGAAAAGCCAATACTTGATGTCTTAGTCATAAATTCTTGTCTAGGCTGATGTCTAAAAGAGTTCTTCCCAGGCTCAGCACCTGTAGCTCAGTGGCTAGGACATTAGCCACATATACTGGGGCTGAAAGGTTCGAACCTGCACCAGGCCTGCTAAATGACTATGGTAACTACAACAAAAAAATAGCTAGGCATTGTGGTGGGCACCTGTAGTTCCAGCTACTCAGGAGGCTGAGGGAAGCGAATCTCTTAAGCCCAAGAGTTGGAGGTTGCTGTGAGCTGTGATGCTACAGCACTCTACTCAGGGCGACATAGTGAGACTCTGTCTCAAAAAAAGAAAAAAAAGCAAAAACAATTCTTCCTGTTTTCTTTTAGAAGTCTTATGGTTCTTCTTCTGTTTTTTCTTTTTGACAGAGTCTCGCTCTGTTACCCAGGCTAGAGTGCCATGGCATCAGTGACCTCATGCTCACAGCAACCTCAGACTCCTGGGTTCAGGTGACCTTCCTGCCTCAGCCTCTTGAGTAGCTGGAACTGTTAGTGCCCACCACAACAACTGGCTAATTTTTTTGTGTTTTTAATTTTCTAGTTTTTAGTAGAAACAGGATCTCACTCTTGCTCGGGCTAGTCTGGAACTCCTGAGCTTATGTGATCCTGTTGCCTCAGCCTCCCAGGATGCCAGGATTACAGGCCTGATCCACCACATCCAGCCAGAATTATTATGGTTTCATGCCTTATATTTAAGTCATTAATCCCTCTTGAATTAAGTTTTATACACGGCAAGAGATCAAGGTTCTGTTTTGTTGATGGAAAGGAAGCCATATTCTGTAAAATAATTTAAAGAGGTTTGTTCTGAGCCAAATTTGAGGCCCATGACCTGGAGACACATCCAAGGAGCCTTGAGCCAGTGGACTCAAGGTGAAGGGGGCACAGTTGGTTTTATGCATTTTAAAATGAGCAGGAATTACAGATGAAGTCACAAATCAATACATGAAAGGTATGCATTGGTTTGGCCCCAAAAGGTGGGATGTCTCAAAGTGGGGGCCCACAGGTTAAAGGTGGGCTTAAAGATTCTTTGGCTGACAATAGGCTGAAAGAGTTAGGCTCTGTCTAATAGACCATGAGTCAGGGAAAGGAATGCTGAGATAAGATAAGGGTCTATTAATCAGACACAAACTAGAGGACAAATGCCCAGACTCAAGTAGTTGTATATATTGAGGACCTGCAGGTATGTTTTGTTAATGAGCCATAGAGGGCTTCTCTAAGAAGGGGATGGGGCATGATGGGGCATGTCTGATCTCCTTTCTCTTGGCTAGCAACTCAGTAACTCAGTTTTAGGGATCTCCTTGGCCAAGGGGGGTCCAGTCAGTCAGTTGCTAGGCAGCGCGGGTGGGGGGGAGCCTTAAGGTTTTATTTTAGTTCACAGTTTCATTCTTCTGCATCACAGTATCCAGTTTTCTCAGTACAGAGAAAGAAGAATAAGGCCTTTATCCAATAAGGCTTCTTCTCCCCAGTGTTTATTGTTCGTTTTGTCAAGATCAGTTAGTTGTAGGTAGATAGTTTTGTTTCTGGATTCTGTATTGTGTTCCATTGGTCTGTGTCTCTACTTTTATACCAGTACCATGCTATGTTGGTTACTGTAGAGCCTCGCAGTATGATTTGAAGCCAGGTAACATGATGCCTCCCAGTTTGTTCTTTTTACTTAAGATTACTTTGGCTATTTGGGTTCTTTTTGGTTTCAAATAACGTCAAAGATTATTTTTTCTAGATCTGTGAAATACGAAGCTGGATTTTTTCATGGGGATTGTGTTGAACCTGTAAATCACTCTGGGCAGTATGGACATTTTAACAATTTGATTTTGCCAATCCATAAACAGGAGATGTTTCTCCATTTGTGTCATTTATGATTTTTTCCTTCAGTGCTTGTATTAATGATTCTCTTTGTAGAGACCTTTCACTCCTTTGTTAAGTATATTCCTATGTATTTTGCTTTTTTATGTAGCTATTGTGAATCGTATTAAGTCTTTGACTCTCTGCTTGCCTGTTTTAATATATAGAAATGCTACTGATTTGTGTACATTGATTTTGTAACCTGAGACTTTGCTGAATTTATCAGTTTCAGGAGGCTTGACTGGAGTCTTTAGGGTTTTCTAGAGACAAGATCATATCATCAGCAAATAGGGAAAGTTTGACCTCCTTTTTTCTGATTTGGATACCCCTTTATTCTTTCTCTTGCCTGATAGTTCTGGCTAAGACTCCTAATACTATGTTGAATCTAAGTAGTGACAGTGGGCACCCTTGTCTTGTTCCAGTTTTTAGAGTGAATACTTTCAACTTTTCCCTATGATGTTGGTTGTAGGTTTATCATATAAGCTGCTTATAATTCTGATGTATGTTCTTTCTGTGCCTACTTTGTTGAGCGTTTTTTAATTATGAAAGAGTGCTGAATTTGTTGAATGTTTTTTCTATATCTATTAAGATGATCATCTGGTCTTTGTTTTTGTTTTGTTTCTGTTTACTTAGTAAGTCATGTTTATTGATTTGTGTAGATTAAGCTATCCTTGCATCCCTGGGATAAAACCCACATGATCATGGTAGATTGTCTTTCTGATGCCCTGTTGAATTTAGTTTACTAGTATTTTGTTGAGGATATTTGCATCTCTGTTCATAGGGATTTTGGTCTGTAGTTTTCTTTTTTGTGTGTCCTTTCCTGGCTTTCATATCAGGGTGATACTGATTATATACTAGGGAGAATTCCCTCCTTCTTGATGTTATGAAATAGTTTCTGTAGGATAGATACCAGTTCTTTGTAGGTCTGGTAGAATTTGGCTGTGTGTCTATCTGGTCCAGGGCTGCTTTTTGTTGAGAGATTTTTTTCTTACTGCTGTAGTCTCACTGCTCACTATTTTTCTGTTCAGGGTTTCTGTGTCTTTCTGATTTAGGCTTAAGAGATTGTGTTTTTCCAAGAATTTATCCATTTCCACTAGAATTTCTAGTTTGTTTGTGTAGAGGTTTTCATAGTACTCATGAATGATATTTTGTATCTCTATGGTATAAATTATAATGTCTCCTTTTTCCTATATAATTGAGTCCTTTGTTTTCTATTTCTGGTTAATCTGGTTAGTAGTCTATTGGTTTTGTTTATCTTTTTAAAGTACCAACTTCTTTCATTGATCCTTTGTGTTTTTTTTTGTTTCCATCTAATTTTGCTCTGCTCTGTGCTTTGTTATTTGTTTTTTCTCATTCTGCCTTTGGATTTGGTTTGTTCATCTTTTTCTTGTTCCTTGACATGTGACATTAGGTTGTTAAGGTGCCATCTTTTGGTGCTTTTTTTTTTTTTTTAGACAGAGTTTCACTTTGTGGCCCTTGGTGTAATGCTGGGGCATCATAGTTCACAGCAATCTCCAACTCTTGGGCTTAAGTGATTCTCTTGCCTAAGCCTTCCAAGTAGCTGGGACTACAGGTGCCAGACACAATGCCCAACTTTTTTTTTTTTTTTTTTTGTAGAGACAGGGTCTCACTCTGGCTCAGTCTGGTCTCGAAACTCTAAGCTCAAGGCAATCCACCTGCTGTAGCCTCCCAGAATGCTAGTATTATAGGCATGAGCCACCACGCCCAGCCCTTTCTGTGTTTTTGATGTAGGCATTTAAAATTATGAACTTTTCCCTGACCCTATGGAGAACTTCTCACTCGTTGTACTGCATGATCATTGCTACGTTTACTGTCTAACACTGTTTCTTCACAGTGTCTCTCAGCCTTCAGATCTTACTGGTAGCATGGATCCTAGTAATATATTTTAAAAAGAGGAGCTTAAACTCTCTTTCTTTGAATCTTGTGGGGTTGTTGATTTGTGTTGGTCTTTTCCAGTGAAGTGGGTTTGAGAAAGGATTTGATTTCTCTAGACAAAGATTAGGATAAAAAGAAGAAAATGTTTGTTTTACTTTTCCCAGACAGAAAAAGACCAGAATAAAGGTGGAAAAGGAAAAACATGCTGGCCTTGAAAACCAGCTGTCAGGTCTTTTAAAAGGAAGTTGTAAATTGAGGGGGTACAGTTGAGAAACTGTTGTATTCACTTCCTCTGTTTTCTTCTTAGTGGCAGGCTGATAACAGAAACTGTGGCAGGATGTCAAAGGATTTGGGAGTTGGCTCTGCCTTTCCTTGGAGAAAGGTTTCATTGCCAGAGATGTGATTATCCCCTTGAGATAGAGTTTTGGGAGGAGACCCCTGCCGTTCACTCAGGAACTCTATCAAAAGCAGATTCTCCAAGCAACTTTAAAAGAGAAAGACTTCTATCTCTTTCCATCTCTTCAGCCCTTTCCAGACTTTGTTGAAAACAGAACTCCCACGGGGTGCCTGTTAGGGAGAGAACTCATAGGATTGGTCTTTAACTGTTATTGGGGAAATTATGGGATTAGGTATTTTCCTGTTATTTCAACAGGTCTGAGCCTTTCATTCCTTTTATTCTCTGATTAAAATTAAAATTTCTATTAAAAAAAAAAGAACTCAGGAGACTGGGAGCCCAGTTTATAGATGGAGGTCTCTATCTTCTGAAGCTTCTCCCTGCTGACCTCTGGATGGAGCGATGTTTCTACCTGACAGGGTTCCTTTGGGTTATTCACGGGAGGCATTGCAAATGGATGATTTGA